AGACATGTGCTCCGTTCAGTATTGTTTTTATTTCACAAAGTTAGGGAATTTAGATACTTGTACTGGGTTCCCTTCTGCTGTGAGCAAATTACATCACAACAGAAACGCAGTACGATGAAAAAGAAAAACAAAAAACGACAAAAAAACTCAATCGGAGTAATGCCTACCATGCGCCTATTTCACCAGTAAAATGTCTTTGGAGCTCGAGATTACGATCTTCTTCAAGAATCACGCTTTCCTCGAATGCGGCGGCCGCTTCTACGGTCGCGTTTGGCTCCAAATCCTCATCGTACGGGATAAAAGCAGTTCCATTGCCGTCCAAAATATCTTTCTGTTCGACTGTTTTAAATCAGATTGGTCTTTCGAAGAAATGGACGAAGAACACGGAACAGACGACACCACAATAACACGCTAGAAGTAGTTGTAGCGAGACAGTGGTGAGTTTTGTGGATAAGATGACGTCACAGGCGACCTCGATCCAATCCCTCTCCTTTCACTCGGACATTTGTTGTTTATGTAATGGCGGACCCATTTTTCCCACTTCCAGACATCTTTCTTGTGGGAACCGCTTCGTCAGATTGGTCTGAATTACATTTTTTCGTGAAGTTTTAAGTCCAAACATTAAGTTCGAGCCCAAAAATTTCGTTTAGAAAGACTACGATTTTCGTCGCAGTAGCACTTTAAAGAAAAAGATCAGTTGCAACCGTCGCAGCCAAGCCATGACTCCGACTACTTAGCTAGATTAGCTACTTTTTTTTAGTAATAACTGGTCCATTCGAGGGTCTTCATTCAAGCAAATTAAACTCAGCGAACTGAATCATTAGAAAATACAGAAAACTGCACATAAGGATTTGTTTTGCTCCCTTCAGTTAAATCCAGCTCCAGCAATTGTTTAAGGGCAAAGAGTCGATTGTTTTGAGTCACTGCCGGTAGTAGTCGTTCTCTGCTACTTGACAGCGAGAAAAAAGGAAAATTTGCGCATAGAAAGATAACAAAACTATGTAATTAAAACTGAAAAAACTAAAGGAAAAAAACTCTGACTATTATTACTTGAGCAACAGAAAAATGATCGAAGTAGTCTTTTCTTCTCGAGTAAGCTTGCTGGCCTTCTAAAGTTCCGAGGAAGTTTTCAGCGCTCAAGTTTGTTCACTCGCAAGCGTTAGCATTACGGTTCTTTGACATAAGACAAGGATTAAGCTGGTTCCGCAAAGGTAAATAAATCTGGGCATTTAAAAAACTAACCGTAAGTACTAATAACAGAATACAAGCGGGTTTGAATTCAGTCCGGCGAAAGAAGGCGAAGCACTGGACACAAAATCAATTCACAAATCGAATGCACAATTATCGGAAAAATACAAACCTCTTTGGAAATGTTCAAAACGTTTTATTCCTCCTCTGACTGACGGATGATCTGTTTTTACTCTAACATTGGTTGTTCTGAATCCAAAGTAATTTTCAAGTGACGAAAAAACAACAACAACAGCAAAAACAAAAAAAAAGCCTTTACAAGGAGCAAACGTTCGCACCTCGTGTATTTCATTCAGTCTCGGTCAGAACTCTCACGGAACGAGACAAACAAACGCAGGCGATAAGGGATGCGCAGAAGCTTGCGCAGAACGTTTTTCCGCCCTGAAAGACCAACATTGACGTCACGTAGTCTCCAGTCTATCACGCGGCCATTTTAGAAACGTTTTCGCGAAGTTTTCGGAAATGCTCGGATTTTGATCTTTTATCTTTCCATAAAGGCTTGGGAAGAAAAATCTTTACCCAAATCTCACTTAGGATGGTTCTTTTTAGTGTTTGGTGAAGGTAAAGCGACAAAAGAAAATATGTCAATTTTTTGGTTCATTTGACCTTTAAGTGTAAAACATGCTTTGAATGATGTCTTCATCTTTCTGTTCTTTTTTATTCCGGGGTACAAAGGATGTTAAGTCTAACAGATATTCTTTAAAAAGGAGTGTTGTCATTGCCAGCTCAACGCAAATAACTAAGTAAACGCCGCCTCGTCCTCAGGGCTTCTCGATTTCCGTCCCTTTTCTAGCGACTACCTGAATTATTGATTTCATATTAATGAATATTCGCAAACGCCCTCCAAATTTGGTTAACGCTAGATGGTTATGAAAATTGAGACAATCAGTAACGGGCTCCAACATGAAAATACTTAGTTACTTGGAGTCACTATTACCAGCAACCCTCTTGCAATATGCACGTGTCTGAGATGGTAAAGAAAGCATCTAAACGCCTGTAGCGTCTTAGGCAATTAAAGCGCGCTTATGTCGAGAAGGCCGAACTGCTTAGGTTTTACACAAGCTGTATAAGGTCTGTTTACAATTACGCGAATTCTGTGTTTCACGCTTCGTTACTTCAGTATTTAATCGACGATTTGGAGTGATTACGAAAGAGGGCTTTCTCCATCATACGACCCACCTTGTCCTACGACAACGCTCTAGCTTCGTTACAGTTGGACCTAGAAGTATTTCTAGTGGTCCATCATCAGCGCCTATGTCAGTCCCTTTTCGATAATATCTTACAGGACAGCGATCACTGTCTCCATCACTTACTGGCTGACTCGCATAATTCACAATACACCCTCAGGCATGCCAAGACTTTTGATGTCAAGTTTAAAACTTGCAAGCCCAGGAATTGTTTTATTAATTCCCAATGCCTCCGGGTAATCTCATTAGAATAGCCATAAATTTATAATAAAATAAAACTGTGTTCGTATTTTATACATTTTTATGTATACCGTAAAATTCCGAAAATAAGCCCCCTCCATGTATAAGCCCCCCAAACCGGTAACGCAAAAAACCCTCCGTTAAATCGCCCCTCCAAATATAAGCTCCCCGGGGGCTTGTACTTGGAACATTGGCCTCAAATACAAAGTACAACAAAGCAAAAACGGTAAATTTACTCCCAAATAAAAGGCTAGCCCATTCGATTTTGAAACGCAAATTACCCTCCGTAGGTAAGCCCCTCCGAATATAAGCCCCTCCAAAAATAAGCCAAACAAACAGGGCCTTTGAAAAATATAAGCCCCGGGGCTTATTTTCGGAATTTTACGGTATGTAGATATTCTTTAGAATTATAACTTTTCTTAAATCGATTGTAATTTATGTGTTTTCTTACTATAATTTAGTGGTTGTTATGTATATACTTAATTTAGCTTCTGGCTGCGATGTCTATACCAATAAAATATCCATCTATCTACTTTCTACACTTTTATTGGAGAAATCTGAAAGTTTGAAAAAATCCAAGACCTCACAGAGAACATTGTGGTAACAGCCAGATCATATCCTACGTTGTTAGCAAACTCTTGTTTCGTTGCTCAACACACAGGATAAATATCCAAGCTTTACTCTTCTTAACGAATTTTAATAGCACAGTTTAAGCCCTCTACAAATTTCCACGAGATCCAAGGCCCATTTCTTTTTAAAAAGAATAATAGCACCGTAAAACATTGATGCCGTTGTGTTTCTGGACCTCGGCCCCGGAAAAGGCTTTTGTTAGATAGACAGATCGATAGATCGATAGATCGATAGATCGATCGATCGATCGATCGATAGATAGATGATAGATAGATAGATAGATAGATAGATAGATAGATAGATAGATAGATAGATAGATAGATAGGTAGCTAGAAACCTTTATTTCAATAGTGTAACTCCTTCTGTTCTTGTACAAAATAAAAACTGCTGTCCATAGAAGCCCTACATACATGATAACCTAAATTTAGAAGAAATAATAGCGATAATTAATTACAATTAAAAATAGCCATAAAATGTTATATAAAGGACTTGAAAATTAAATTACAAGTAAAATCATAAAAATCTTAAAACTAAATCTGATTAAAAATTACGCAACCATGATAAACAAAGGCCTTTTTCGTACATTCTAACTTTATAGACGGAAGTCTAAGTTTACCACTGCTCTTTGTTGTTCTGGGCAACACATTCTTGTTATCACTAAAATAGTGCATAAAAAACTGTGGACAACGGTTGCTTAAGCATTTCTTAACTAGATTGCCTACATGGCTCTCACACCTTTTCTCCAGCGTTACGTAACCTAAGAAATTTAGCGTTTTTTCGCTGTTCCCAGACGCATAACGATACGTTCTGCACGTCTCTTCAACTTCTCCCACTTATCAGCGTTAACACTCCAACAGCAGCTCCACACTGTATCGCAGTAATCAAGAATAGGGAGAACAAAGGACGTATAAACGGTACCTGCTGTGTGCAAGTTTATGGTTTTCCTAATTCGGCCTAACATTGCTAATCTCTTGCCAACCTTACCTAGCAAGTATTCAACGTGCACATTCCACGTAAGCGACGCATCTAGAATAACCCCAAGTTATACTAAGAAGCGCGATTAAGTACTTTTCTATCAATAGCTACAGAAAAAGAAGTAGAAAGTGCTAGCCTTGGACTACGATGCCTGTGGTACCCGTTTTTCACACCCAGTACAGATTTTGGGATTCTTGCTGATGTAAGCATTTTTGATACCGGTTTGGGGCGGTTCAGACTGGTTATTTTTGCTAATTAATTGACAAATCTGATCTTGGCTTAAAGACAAGGCGATTCTATATAGTAATGAGTATGAGTGCAATTGACGCAGTTCTTAATCTTTGTGATATTCTGGTAGAATCTAATGTTCAGCTATGTAAACAAGTTCAAAAAGGCGGAATAGATGAGGAAAATCTATACAACCACTTTAAAAATACCGCCAAAACAAGAAAAAAATATAATAAATTTGTCGAGTCACATGGTAGTTTGTCTACTAAGCCACATGGTAGTTTGTCTACTAAGCCAAGATGTAAGGTAGAAGCAAGAGAGCAGTACAATGACGAGGAATATGATAAAATAATTAGCCGAATCGAAAAATTCAAGCAAGATCGCCAAAATGAAGTCGAAAATGATAAAAAATGGAGCGATATGAATGACGAAAATGGTGAATTAATTGGGAGATTGAAGCGGTTGAAACCGGTTGAACTGGTTGAGGAACCAGACCCTGTAATGGGTTTCTAGTGTGTCCTTATTATAGAAATGTTTGATGCAACAATTACACGGCAATCTAATGTCTTTCATATAATCATGTACTTCTATACAGATTTCATCATAGCCGTTACTTAGGATAAATTTATAGTTATTATTACTGTATTTTTCCATTAACGCATTTTGTGCTTTACTTACATGATAATTATTAGTCGGTGATTTGAATTCAATACAGAGGCCTTTATAATCTTTGTGATAGTCGAGTACCATTAGATCAGGCTGTCCTCTCATATATCCTTTCTTATACGAATCGAGGCGTTTGTCATCAGTATCCTGACTTTCACCCAGTCCTGCTACTAATATGGAATCTGGATAATATCTCCTTATGAGGTTCACTACTTTATAATGGAGGTCAGTCTCATTGCCAATCATAATCATCTTATTCCAGGGACTATCAAATAGTTTATATTGGCCATATTTACGGATAGATGGGAGTACTGTGGAGAATACCCAGTCTTGGAATTTTTTAGCTGTCGGTAGTTTTGAGCCAAAAACAAGAGAGTAAAACCCAGGCTCTGATATAAAATACTGGTATCTGACCTGACCCGTAGAAACTACGGGGTAGCTTTTCTTATACTTCTCATCAACATGCCATCTGATAGCTTGATGAGTGTCACTATAACCGAGAATAGTAGCAACATCTTTTCCTCGGAACCAAATATTTTGCTTATCATCAATAAATGATGTCAGCTCAATTTCTAAATCTTCATTAGCAAACTTTTTTTCAATCATATTTACCATATATATAGATTACATAAATATTATCATACAGGCCAATAAAATGGTAAATATGATAGATTAAAAAGTATGCTAGGCCTGAGGTGCCGTTTCAGCACATTAAACCTGGGGCATCGTTTTGACAGCCCCAGTAAAGCTATCTCATTTTTGTTTCTCTCCAGTGTCATTTTGTTGAGGGGGCGAAACGTCCACGCCAACGATTGGGGTATTTTGTTGCCGTCCCCATTTTGGGTACGCCAACACTTTAGATCCACCGTCCACGTTTTATGGACGCTGGCAGTTTACTCATTCTCCTCCTCTTCCTCCGTTTCAAAGATTGCACCTAAAACGCCTGTTAATGCCATCTCAGCTGATTCCAGTTTTTTGGATATTAATTTCTTGTGGTATAATGTCGCAATTTCTTCCTCCAATTTTTGGATTTTAGTGAATAGTGCATTAAGCTCGGTTTCCTTACTCTGGATTTTAGAATCAAGCTTTCTTATATGATCGTCCATATATACTATTAGTTAGATAAATCTTGTAAACTGCTCCGTGGGATCCAAGAATTAAAGGCGTCACTATATCGTAACCATTTTACAAGAGCTTGTTTCTTCTTATAATCCCTCCGAATGACCTTTTCAATGCGAAATACGTCCTGTTTTGCTGGTAGTAATTCTGGCTCATAAAAGCTGCCTTGTATTTCCTCATTATTGAGATCCTTTAATCTGTATGTGATCGGGTTTGTGGATTGGATTTTATCAATCAGGAATATCTCTTCTGTCCAATTAGGTGTGTACCCTTTATCAAACACTTTTCTGTTGTGCTTATTTATCCTCACTTTATCACCAACCAATCAATTTGGGCTTAGATGTCAACTGCTTCATAATACCATATAGATTGTAATATACAGCACTTTCATTCTTCTTCTTACTAGCTTCTACAGGTGTCATTTTAATGGAACTTTGTTTGGTGTTGTTATATTGCTCCAATATTTTTGGCAGTATGTCCAAATATACGGTATTACCCTGGACAGTAAACTGCTTCCACATTTTGGTTTTAATAGTACGGTTCCATCTTTCACATACACTAGATTTTTCCTCATTCTCGGTTGAATACAGTGTTGTATTATTCTTTTTCAACAGTTCTTTCATATTTTTGTTATAATACTCTTTCCCCCTATCAGTCCAAAGATATTGTGGTTTACGGCCCTCTTTGAAGATGCATATGGTGTTGAATGCTTCTGTGACTGTTTCCCCTTTCTTATCCTTTAATGGTACAATCCAGCCATATTTGCAGAATAGATCTAGTACCATGAGAAGATATCTATACCCTTTGTTCCATTTGCTGAACTGTTGCATCTCAACCAGATCTGAGCACCAAATTTTGTCAATACCAGTTGTAATAACACGCCGCCGAGTAAAGTTGCGTTTTATGGGTTTATGTAATTCATCCGCTAATTGTTGTTGCCAACTGATACCCGACGGCTTTTCCAAGACCGAGTTTCTGTTTTGTGTTTATTAGATTTCTAGCTAACCAGTGACCCCATTGTCGTTCATTATAAGGAATGGCGTCTAACGATTTTAACGATTTTAATTATTCCTGTTTCCAATTTGTGTATTTTTTGTGGTTAATTATTACGGCTGTAGATACCCCTGAAATACTTTATTCTTAATTGTGTAACCCATTGTGACAAATCAATGTTCGATAATGGTTTGTTTATGAATCTTACAGTATTGTACCTAGAATTGGGATTGAATTGAATGGACTATTTTTTCCGAGCAGCAGTCCCTTTCCCTTTCTTTTTTTTTACCCCCGCACCAGTGGGGTTTTCCCATGTTCCAAAGAAAGGTGGCGACATGTAGGGATACGGATTATACATTCCGTGGCCATTAGTTGTATCGGGAACATAAACAGATGTTGTATTAGCGGAACCGGTTCTGTCAGCCTGTAGTCCTTTTCCCGTCAAGGCATTTAGTAACATGGGGATTCCTATACTCGCTAGTAGAGTTCCTAAAACCCCGCCCTGCTGTGTTTTCGTTGGTCTGATAACTAATCCGTTGCCAGTTTGGAGAGCCTTAAGAACATCTTTTTTCTGACCTGTGTTCAGTAAATGTTTGTATGCAACCAAATGTGCTATTTTATCCATTGGAATAAGGAATCCTCCTCGTTGGCCTTTCCCGAATATCTTATCCGCACCGAGACTGGCTAATCCTGATAACGCTCCTGTTACAAGTGGAGCGGCAGCCTTTTTGGCTAACGGCATTGCCATAGGTAGCAACTTACTTCCTAAACTGATTAATGATCCCCACCAACTACCACCCTGTCTAACAGCCTTTCTGATTTGTGTTTTTGATATCTTGTTTCCGATTCTGTACCCTGGCTCATTGCTTTTCTCAGCTTATTGATCTGAGTTTTTGTGAGCATCAATTCATGTGGTCCGGATAACTCATTTCTAGCTAATCTGATGGTTATTGCTGAGTTATTATTATAAGCTCTAGAAAGCTTTTCCAATTGTCCTTTACTAAGTGACACACCATAAGGATAATATTTTGTCATTACTTATATATAATATATGTTACATAATTTACGGTTACATGATGGGCGGTTACATAATGTACGATGTGAGTATTATTTTACCATCCTTCTGTATTAGCTCAACATCCTGCTCATATAATGTTAATGCGTAAATTAAGTAGGCTTTTGCCGTTGTTCCAGATAGCTCATATTTAAATGTCAGTTTTGTGGTGCCATCCTTAATGTCCATTTTCTGTTTTGTTAGGTCGAAATATAGGAAGGGGAATAGCGTACTAAAATTAGATTTATTGAGTAATGACCCTTCACCGTATTCATTATTTTTGTGAACATATTTCAACACATCCCTGAAGTCTCTAGTCATATCAGTACTTGGTGTGTAATGTATTTCGGGGTATTCGCTACCATTTCCGACTTCCAGGTCAGCTGCTACAGAGAATGTATTGTACAAGAATGGATTAGCTGCGTGGGCATCAATATTTACATCATTGATTATGAATACAAACACGTGTCGGGGTTTCGAAGTACCAGAAGAGATTCTGAAATGCCCAGCTCTCTGCTGGCTGCTATTTGATCTTTCTATATTCTCTCTTAAATAAGTCCACTTATGATTTTTAAGGTATTGGCCCATATAGGATGATTGGCCCCCACTGTTAAAGGTTATCCGCGGAACATAAAACTGCATTCTGGTGATAACCACTCTGCAATCAGGCCCGGCTTGCCAAGTTAGATTACCATCTAAAACAAAACAAAACACTTATTGTAAGCTGCTCGCCTTTTGGCTAACTGATTTGTACCACTAACTTCAAATTCCCGCTCTTCCGCATTTCTGGATGTATCAAGATAGAAAAACTCATTACTTGCTGTCTTATCAGCGTAAGATGGACTGTACTCATGGAAGTTCTTAATAATAACCGCGTGATTCGCGTCATTCCAATCATACACTTTCTTACCATTGAGCTTAATATCAAAATGTTTCAACAGTGAGTACGACCCGTTTGCAATACCATTATGATCTGCTACTGCAACATTGCCTCCATTAGCCAGTAAGACTACTTTGAAATCGACACTGATTCAGGCATTATACCAGTCGAATGGTGTAACCTCTCCGCTGTTATCAACAACAAACCTGTAGCCATCTTTCTTTTGGTGAGCATTATTGGCGACAGTTGTATTTAGTGCTGTTTCTAGGTCAAAAATAACATCTTCATATCGTTCAACATAGTTTGGACCTTTAAATGATTTCATATAATAATAGATTACATAAATCTCATCTGGCCTCCAGATAGTAATTGATTTACTCGTTCATTAATCTCGTAATCAGTGAGTTCCTTTTGTGGATTTTTTGTTGGTGTTGTCGCTGCTGGTGTTGTTGTGTTTTTATTCTTTTTGCTTAATAATTGGATAATTTTATCACCGGCTTTTTTTCCCCGCATATTCACCAGTTTTCGTAGCAGCTTTTTGAACGGCCTTTTTTGTTGCCGTTTTAGCAGCTTCCTTCATAGTCTTTCGAAACAACTTTCTTCCAATCGTTTAGATTACATATTATGCTGGTTTGGATCGCAATATCTCATAAACCAGTTAATCTTATTTAGTCCAATTGGTCGCCCCAGTGAGTCTGTGATATAAAACCTCATTTGTGAAATATTAAGTTGGGAAACTTCATTAAACAATAGTCTTCTGGGTTCAAAAGTGAATGGGGAACTTCTTGTCAAATTGTCAGTTGGAATGACGGCTAACGTATTAGTATTAACACCATTCAATATGCTGTTCGTAATGGCATCGGTATTGACATAAATCATATCAATGGAATTTGTGATATTGGGAAGAATTGTCCCATATTCTGTTTTATTGACAATCTTTTCTGTGAATCCAATTAACTAGCCAAATTTACTATTTCTCAGATCCAGTTGGTAATTGTTGTCGATCTGAATGAGAATCTTATATGTTGACAATACGAATGTTAAGTTAATATGGTATTTATCGCCAGTTTTATAGTCGGTGGTGAGATGGCCTTTCTTTTTCATGTACTGATGGAGATAGTCATTTAGGTCTGAGTAAGTGTACATCCCATCCACAAATTTGACGGTTTGGCATGATGTGCCACCATCAGGTGAGTATTTTATTTCCTTATTTTGATACTGATCTGAAATATTATGCCAACTGTAACTCATAGTGGCCTTATCCAAGGCTATTTAATGTGTCATGTTATTTTGGAGTTTTAAGACTGGATCAAATTTGATTATGAAATCTTCTGCTTTATTCCGTCCGATTTTCTGTCTATTTACAGATGAAATATGAATAGCTCTTTCTTGCATTTATATTATTAGATTACATTATACTGTTTTATCAGACTATTAAGCTGGTTGTTATTTAGAATGCCTAATTTGTTTAGTGTGTGAGCAATTTTGGAAAATTCATTTTTCACACCATTATTTCCAGCCAATATGAATCCACCTAACAATTCTAATCTGCCCAATAGATCAACTGGGTTATTATAATAAACAACCCCTGAACCGATTTTTTTGTATTCATGACTTGTTCGGTGAATTGGAATATCAGTTATTCTGTTCAGGTCATCAAATACCATTTTTGATAATGGTGAATACTTCTTTTTACTATTGAACCCCTTTGTAAGCAGATCAAGGGTATCAAAGTCCACTTCATTACAGAAACGCGCCCATTCAAAAACGTCGATCGTGAAAATGTAAATAAGTGAAAAACGACGTTAATTTAGTGTCAATCAAGAAATCCCCTGGGTATATCCCTTTCCTGGTTATTGTTCCTGCTCAGACATCCGCAACATTTGCCTATTCTTCGATGAAGAATAGAACTTCACGCGACTAACAATAGCTCAGTCGGTTTAAAAACTGTCTAAATTTACTCCGAATTAGCATGTGACTTTTTGCTGTTAAACGCTTCAAAATTGAAAAATCCTCGATGATTGTTGTTGATTTTACCGTAAATAATTCAATGCACTGACTTAAAATGAATTTTTACCTTTTACAAACTTCTTGGTGTTCGAATCGATCGATGAAATATGAGCGCAACCGATGCGTTAATAGTTTGTTTACATTTTGTCACGGGTTTTGGATAATATTATAAACCTTAAAATTTACGGGCAAATTCGACGAAAAAGCCCTCTCACTTACATTTTTCATTTAAGATATTGATTTTAGCAAAGTATAAGGCAAAATTAAGAGCGATACTTTCTTTAAGAACGCTATAACTACATATTTAACGGCCAAACCTAAACAGCGATCTAATCCGTCTCTTGAAAACAACTACAATACCGCTTCTGATCATGTCTGATAATAATATTTAAACGCTGCAAACATTTTTATGCAATCTTATCGAGTGATTTTCGTGAAGATGAGTTTTTAAGTGAAGAATACTTTGGTTTCTGATTAGCTTTAACTGTTTTGCCATCAAAACGATTCGCACGAGACTACCGAATTCGCGAGGGTTTTTTTGTTAGTGCACGAGGAAGAAAAATGCTTCTCTTTGCATAAACATTTTCTTCTTTGCAGCAATGACAAAGACATTCCAACACTTAAAATAATGGCAACCTACTTCTATTGTTTCTGCATTGTCTCTTGAAAGTGTGAGAATAGTTAACCGCTATGAAGTTCATAAGAGACCGACAACGACGGTAGTCTTTGAAACATCGTTTTTGCTCGCAAAGCCCAATGGGTACCCCACTTTTCACGGGCGACGTTTTTCAATGGGCGCGTTTCTGTAATGTGCTTATCATATACTTTTTTACCATCCTTACTAGCAACCAGTTTAAGCTGGCCAGAAAGTTTGGGCACATCAATGGTTACATTTCCATAAACACCAGTATTAGGGTTAATCTTATAGACATTCCTCTTCTTCTGTGTGTAAATACCTTTCCCAACCTTTAGAGTTTTTGTACCTTCCTCTAGAATGCCAATTCTTTGTCGGTATTTTCTAATAATCTCAATTCCTTCATCATATTCGGCAATTTCATCCTTATTTTTCTTTCTGTTAGCTTTTGTTGTGCTCAAATGGGCTTTTTTCCTGCCTAACTCCTTATTCATTTCACCAGATTTATCCAGAAGTTGTTTCGCATAATTTGGTTGTTTTAAGGTTTGCAAAAAGATGTCAGCCGGTAATGGCAATTGCTGGTTTTGTATGAATGCCAATTCTTCTTGAGTAAATCCCTTCTTCATATCAGCTATCATTTTGGGTGCCACCTCACCACTTGGGCCTGGTAATGCTAATCTTTGAACTTGTTCACCATAGGGGATAACTTGTTTATTAACATCTTCTCTCAATTTACTGATCTCCTCTATTTCCTTATCAAACTTTTCAGTTAGAGGTTTCAGGTCTTCAGACGTCTTTTCGTATACATTCTGCTTATTAGTTTGAACTTCCTTTATTACATCCCTAACAACTTCAGTCATTTTTCCTGCTTCAATTTTAGGAATACTGAGTCTCTTGAATCTTTCTATATCCATTATACTATTGTGTTATATAAAACTTATCTCAACTTATGTGAACTTATTTTGAATTATGTAATATAATAGTATAATGGAGATTCCAAATTATGATTTCAATGAAGACGAAAATACAAACTTCAAACAGCTGTACAAGTATATGCCCAAGTCCAATTTCCGGATGCTAATATGTGGCAATTCAGGGTCAGGCAAAACAAACTTACTTTTTCACATCCTTATGAAACCATTAGTCTACTATGCCCAGATCCATTTATAC